CGACCCTTCTCTACTGAGCTCATAGAGAGACTTCACTTTTGTGGCAAAATCTAGAATCCACAGACGGCAATAACCTACTGTTCCTAAGAATTCTCTTATCTGCCTCGGGCTTGTGGGTGGGGGAATCTGTAGGATAGTCTGTTTCATGGCTTCAGTGAGCCACCTCTGCCCAGCTCTCAACTTATACCCCAAGTATGTGACTTCTGGATTAGCTATCTGAGCTTTCTTGACACTGGCTCAATATCCCAGCTCTCCTAGAGTGGTGAGAAGTTTCCTGGTCCCTTCAAGGCACCCTGCCCAGTCGGGGACTGCTATTAACAAGTCATCCACATATTGTAGTAAAGTTACTTGTGGGTTTTGACCCCAGTACTCACATAAATCGTCACTCAAGGCCTCGTTGAACAAAGTGGGTGAGTGCTTGAACCCTTGCACTAATCTTGTCCAGGTCAGCTGGCTGAGGACTTTATCCGTTTTGTCAAACCATTTGAAGGCAAAAATGTCTTGGCTCTGTGGGGCTAGGGGCAGGCTGAAGAAGGCATCCTTCAAGTCCAAGGTATTATACCACACATAATCTGGAGGAAGATTACTGAGCAGCATGTAAGGGTTAGGGACTGTGGGATGTATGTCTTCAACCCGGCGATTTACCTCTCTCAGATCCTGCACCAGTCAGTATTCTCCCCCTGATTTCTTTACTGGTAGGAGAGGTGTATTCCATGCAGACCGGCACCTCTTTAGTACCCCTTCCTGTAACAGCCGCTGGATATGGGGTTGTATGCCTTCCCGGGCTTCCCTGAGCATGGGATACTGTTGGACTCTTACCGGTATGGCAGAGGGTTTTAAGTCCACAATGATGGGCGGTTGGTGTTTTGCCAATCCAATTCCTCCAGTCTCTGCCCAGGCTTGGGGAAACTTTTCCAGCCATGGAGCCATATCCGTTAAGCCTGTACATTGGTCTTCTACACCTTTATACAGGCGGTATTCATCATGTAAGGCAATTGTTAGAACCTGCAGAGGAGAGCCTTCCCCATCGGTAACCTGGACACCATTTTTATGGAAGAGTATATGTGCTTGAGCTTTGGACAATAAGTCTTTTCTTAACAGTGGTGCAGGACAGTCAGGTACAACTAAGAATGAATGGGACTCTGTTTAGTTCCCAGGTTCACTTATCGCTGTGTTGTCCAATGATACCGCTTTGCCCCTGTTGCCCCCTCGACCAGGCTAGTTTTTGAAGAAATCTTTCCCTCCTTCTTATTGAGGACGGAGTACTGAGCCCCTTTATCTACCAG